AATGTCCTTAATGTGCGCAGATGTAGGTATGTGTGTGTACGCGTGCGTTCGTGTGTGGGTGTGTGCGTGCGTTCGTGTGTGGTTGCGTTCGTGATGTGTGTGCATGCGTTCGTGTCGTGTGTGTGCGTGCGTTCGTGTGTGTGTGCGTCCAGCGTTGCGATCGTGTGTGTGGTGCGTGCGTTTCGGTGTGTGGTTGCCGTGCGTTCGTGTGTGTATTGTGCGCGTGCGGTTCGTGTTTGGTGGTTGTGCGCGCGTGTAGTGCGCAGTTCAGTGTGTGTGTGCGTGCGTACGTGTGTGTGCGTTCTGTGTGTGTGCATTGCGTTCGTGTGTGTGTGTGCGCGCTGCGTTTCGTGTGTGTTGCTGCGTGCGTTCGTGTGTGTGAGTGCGTGCGTTCGTGTGTGGTGAAGTGCGTGCGTTCGTGTGTTGTGTGAGGTGCGTGCGTTCGTGTGTGTGTGAAGTGTGTGCGTTCGTGTGTGTGTGAGTGTGTGGTTCGGGTGTGAGTGCGTGTCTTGTTGAGTGCGTGCGTTCGTGTGTGTGTGAGTGGCGTGCGTTCGTGTGTGTGTGAGTGCGTGCGTTCGTGTGTCGTGTGAGTGCGCTGCGTTTTCGTGTGTGTGTGAGTGCGTGCGTTCGTGTTGTGTGTGAGTGCGTGCGTCTCGCTGTGTTGTGAGTGGCGTGCGTTCGTGATGTGTGTGAGTGCGTGCGTTCGTGTGTGTGGGTGCGTGCGTTCGGGTGTTGTGTGGTCGTTCTGAGTGTGGTTCGTGACGGCGGCCGTTCGCGTTCGTGTCTATGTGTGTGTGCGTGCGTGTTCGTGGTCTGTGTGTGTGCGTTCTTTGTGTGTATGCATCCGTGTGTGCATGCGTCGTGGTGTATGCGTCCGGTAGTGTGTATTCGTCAGTGTGTGTATGTGTGTGTATGTGAGTGTGTATGAGTTTAATGTGCTCACCTGAACGTGCGGGGGGCGTTGATGGCGTAGAGGACGGCGTCTGCTATTCCTCAGGGTGCAGGTGCGCTTCTTCCACCAGTCGTCGCCGCCTCGCGGACTTCAATCTTGTCCACGAAACTCCGTTTTCACCCTCCAGGGCTCACCTCCTGCGTTAAACACTTCGTTTCACCCCACAACGGCAATTTGCGCTTCACCTTCACAATAATGTCGCCGACACACCTTAATGTTCCGGACTAGAAAAACGTCACATTTTCCAAACAATCACATTTAATTTGTAACTGAATTAAATGATTCCGCAAAGTTATTAATATTTACAAGATGATTCTCTTTTTAAAAAAAGTAAATACTTGCGTTCTTTGATTTACAACAAATATAATCAAAACACAAATTATATGCTTATCAAAGGCAACTTTCTTTTCAAATTTTTTTAGCCAGAAATCAAAAGTTGTTGTGAAAAGTGTCTTATAATCCGGGTTATATTCTGTGTGTAATACAAATGCACACAAAACAAGTTTAAGCTGTCAGACATGTTCTTCTGTTGTATGTTGACCACGCTGAATCCGAAACCAAAAATTGCGTCACCACACTCAAGTTGTTTTTTATCGCACAAAATTGTTGGTTTTTTTTTAAGTTTTTTGTCCAAGAAAACAGAAGTTAACATGTGTTACTCAATGCATGTTGACGCCCTGCAGTCGAATCTTAAAGTCACCACTCTCCAGTTTTTTTTCGCGAAAAAACGGCCGTGAAATTTACAATTTACAATTTTACGATGATTTTCGTGATTTAAAATAAACCACTGGAGGTTGGTAGCTTTAGTTCTGCATCAAACCTCTAACAAAAACAAAAAAAAAACAATAATTAATTTTACGGTTAGTGTTTTCCGCCGTTTCAAAAACCAAAGAATGCTGACGCCACAAATAGGCTTCAGGATTCGAATTTAGCGTATCGACATCCATAGACTTCATGTCAATCTAGGGATGACTAGTTATTTCTCTTATTGATTTCCTGTTCTATTACATGTTTTTGCCTGCCTGTGATATTACATTAGAGCATTTTGAGGTGTGGTCTCAACCGTACACGAATATTTTGACTTGGCGGCAAGACCATGCTCCTTCCTCAGAGCCTTCTGTTAATACTCGCACTTGCATGCTTAGTCGCCTCCGTATATCTCTGCTCTGCGAGATCACGGGCATCATATAGTCCCGCGATGCTGTAACATTCACACGACAAAATTACAACATTGTCTTTGTTCTTTTTGGAGCAGTGTCGGGGGAAATATAATGATAACACTCCGTTTCCCACATCACAAATAAAATTCTTTGAATTTTTCCTTAAAACAAATTGTTTAATCAAAACACCAGAATTGTTTAACAAGCTAAGTGTGAATGAGCTGCACAAACTTTAGTTGTCCTCTGGCTTACCTAAAGTTACTGAAATTAAGATTAACAATATGCTGTCCGAACAAATTGACTTCTTTCTTTTTTGTTTAGCAGAAGTAATGGCAAAAATGCATTGGCTGTTGGGTTTTGGTCCTTTTGCGTGTATGTATTCTTTAATGGCATTTTATAGACGTTTTTTCATATGGAGATTGCTTTCTTTATTATGCCTTTTCCCTGAAAAGAAAAATATTATTTGTAAGGAAGGTACGTTTAACTACGCAGGTGTTAACTCACAACCAGTCGTTACACTGGTTACTTGTCGATGACTTTTAGAGAACGTGTAATATGGCAAACTTTTTTTTCTGTTTTTTTACAAATATGATTATTACTTTAAGAAATTAGTTACGATTTTCACTACTGTTATCTGATGCAAAAACGTTGCAATACAACTAATTGTTTGGTTTACATGGTCCAAGGGAATTTAGATATAAATGTAATGAATGTATTATTTATTATTCAGTGAGCAGAATTCCGGAATCAGTATTCGTGTACTCCAATTAAAGAACATCATTCCTGAAATACACACACAGTTTTTAATAACTTCGAAAATAAGATGTATTAACAGGATCACATTACTGGGGCAGTTAGTGAAGTAGAGAAAATAATTATCTTGATTAAGTTTGTGTATTAGCAATTTCTATGATGGGGTAGAGTTGAATGTTGTGTCCGAAAGGTGTTGATTCGCCTTGTGTTTGCTGGGTTAGGTTAGATCCGTGTCGACCTACACGTCGGTTTGTTTCTTCTATGCAACACGAATGTGTCTTACCACACTGTTGCGGCCGTGTGACCTTCTACTTAAGGATGCACCTAAGTGAGTTGGCACCGCTTCTGAATTGTAAGTGTGGATAAGTAGGAAGAGCATAATCCCCTTGGAAGGTAAAGGAATGGAATGAAAAGCTTGAAATGAAGCGGATCTACCGCCATGCGCAAAAATGACGTATGAAATCAACAAATAGCTTGCGTTTTCAAATCTATTTTAATGATAATTCCACCAGCCCTACCCCCTACCTCCACCACCCCACCTTTCTTCCACCTCTACACCTAAACCCCTACCACCCCTACCCCCACCACCTCCAGCCCTGCTCTCACCTGCCGATGTGCCACGACGTGGCCGTCTTCCACGCACTTCTCCTCATGAGCTGGATGGCCTCGCGCGTGCGACATGCTCGACCCCAGCACGTTCGTGTCCCAGGATGTCCCTCCACTCCGCTGGTGCTTGGTGCCTGCAACCGCAAACGTCCCTCATTCAGACACACTTCCAAGGTCAGGTCCATTACGTTCGGGCTCCATTTCTGTCCCATAGTAATCATTACTTAAGTTAAACGAGAAGTAGTAGAATTTCTTTTAAGCACTAAAATATGCATCCAGATTACCACAAGAAAGTGAGCTTGTGAAATGTTAGTCAGATATTATAGCAAGTTATCATGACAAAAAACACTTTAAAGTGACTCAGTTTCGAGCAGAGAAGCCAGTTAGTGGGCGTCTCCGAATAAATGTTTACTAACTTCTATGGATGTAGAAGGATCGAAGTTGATTACATTTGACAATGACATGTGGTGCGGAACATTCTATATTATACTTCCTTATCGATATTACTTTTTGTTATATATCTGACATTTGCTTGTTACGCCAACTCCGCTAGTTGCGACCAATTGACATTCAGCGGATAAACAGGGGTGTCGTGTATATGCAGTCATAATTGGCTTCAGAAGTTGCTTGAAAATTGGGGAGTACATTTTCACAAGTGTAACTTCGTATAAGAAATTTTCTATACCGGGAGGTCAGGGGATATCTTCGACCATCCAAATTCGGATACCACAAAAAAGCCTGTAACATTTTTTATTCTGAGCAAACTGTTAAGCCAGCGAAGACAATGCGTTTCACCTGTGGGCGAGTCTCCCCTCCGCGCCCCGGCCATTGTTGGACGAGGATGTGCACCGTGCCGGACGTTGTCCCTGACCCACTTTGAAGGCTGGCCAGAAACGTCTGTGCTCGTTGCTGACGTCGCACTTGGACGCAGTGCAGGGGCCTGCGGGTGGGCCGCTTTGC